GAATCACGTATCGTGATGTGAAGTCCTTAGCGAAACTGACCATGAATGCTCGATTGTCACCAGTAGTAGCTCCGGTAGGACTTTCTCGGTCAAATATCGCGGTGCGGTGATTCGCGCTTGATGCCCGTTTCATTTCTGTTCAGTTTCACTGTTTCTCAGCCACACTTTGATCAGTTGAGTAAACAGAGAGACAGACAGACAGACTACTGAATGATGAGATCCAAAAGCTCATCACTAACGTTTCGATCAATTGCTCACGTGAAGACCATGTCTTGCCGAGGAACGTCTGTCTAGTCTATGCGTCTGAAAAGCTGTAAAAAAGAAATAGCCGAGTCCGCAAAACCGCGGAGAATAATTCTAGTTCACAATGTCGGTAGAATTTGGCTAGTCAAGTCACTATGATACTGGAGGTACTACACACACACACACTTAAAATATGCAACATCAATTTATCCACAAAACCTAGTGAAGGTAAACAAGTACTGGGAGCAAAGCAGTGAATCTCATTGTCTCGTGTCCTCGGTCATCGATAGGCTAGGTCTTTAAATACTCTCCCGGGAGGCCTGTTCGACGAACTCTGCCACCCTTGTTTCTTCTTTTCACCAGATAGTGTATGGATTCATCCTTTGATCACTATTCACTATGGGAGAATTGCGTAGCGTAGTTCTTAAGCGTCTCGGTTTCCAGCAGTTGCATTGGTGCACAGTTTCGGCCTCTTATTATCCTTCATGTGTCTATCCGGATTATGGATCATCCGCGAAAAGTTCATTGCTTTGTGCGAATCCATTTTCACAATTGTCATGTTCTTGAATCGTCTGTGTGCCATGGTGCCATCTTTCTTTACTGCTGCTGGCTCTTTGGAAAGGATAAGCCAGCTCCAGACATGATAGTGATCATGAAGTTCCTTGGGAGTTTCGCTGGTTCGTCCCCAGCGTCGTTCGGAGTTTTTTTTATTATTTTGAAGGCCCACCTCCAGTCTTTGCACAATCAAGTGCGAACTAAAAAGTAGCAGGAAGTAATCTCTCTCCTCGTAAGTGAGAGGGTCAATGACTTTAGTTTTAAAAAGCCAGTCACATCGACTTTTTCACGACACCGTCATTGGGCTTACGAAACAGGAGTCAGGTGACCAGCCTGAAACCCACCACACCCTGGTAGCGCCACCGCTGTTTGTTCACGACTGCTTATTTGTTGCGGTATGCTATTCACAGTTAATCTTCTTCGGTGAAGGTATCCCCCTATCCACAACCCGGGGACGTATCTGGTAACATTCAGTTCGGCC